AAGCCGGAAGTGGTGCTGTGGCTCAAGTGGTAGAGTGCTAGCCTTGAGCTGAAGAGCTGAGGGACAGCACCCAGGCCCAGAGTTCAGGCCCCACAACTGTAACCCCCCACCAAAAAAGCCCTGAAACATAATCTCAATATAAGTGAAGACTTGAATTTACAATCTTTCTGCCTCAGCTATGATTACAGGTGTTTACAAGTAGGAAAAATTTCTTTTAGTATTCCTTACAGTGTAGATGGCACTATCAAATAAGGCTTTAGTCTATCTAAAAATGTTTTTGTTTTGCTTTTCTTTTTTAATTTCAGTTATGCTGCAGATTAAACCCAGAGCCACCTGTGTGCTAGGCACTCCCTTTACAACAGAGGGACATTTCTAGCCCCTTTTTTTGCCTTTATTTTTAGGGACATTTTTGGTCATGTTTTTGTACCAGTCCAAAGGCTTAAACTCAGGGCATAGGTGCCATCCTTGAGTTCTTTTTTGTTCAAGGCTAGAACTCTAAAGCTTGAATCACAGCTCCACTTCCAGCTTTTTAGAGGTTCACTGGAGATCAATCTCATAGTCTTTGGCATCCAGGCTGGCTTCGAACCACATTCCTCAGATCTCAACCTCCTGAGTACATAGGATTGCATGTGTGGACTACCAGTGCCCAGCTTGCCTTTAGTTTTACTTTTTTAATTTAATTTCATTTTTTGGGGCTGGGGGGCTTGACCTCCAGGACTAGACATTAACTTTTTGTGCTCAAAGATAGCACCCTACCACTTTAGCCACAGCTTCTCTTCTGGCTTGTTGGTAATTAATTGAAGGGAAGGGTCTCACAGACTTTTCTACCCAGGTTCGCTTTGAACTATGATCCTCAGACTTTCCTGCCCAGGTTGGCTTTGTACTATGATCCTCAGCCTCCTGAAGAGCGAGGATTACAGGTGGGAGACACAAGTGTCCAACTGCTTTTATTTTTAAAGAATAGTTGCATTGAAATATAAAATTCTTGGTTTCAGGATGGGAATGTGGCTTAGTGGTAGAGTGCTTGCTTATTATGCATGAAGCCCTGGGTTCAATTCCTCAGTACCAGAAAAAGCCGGGCATTCAAGCCCCAGGACTGGCAAAAATCAGAACAAAACAAACAAAAAAAAACCCAAATTTCTGTGAATTTATCATTTTTCAGTTCTTTTAAATGATGTTGTTAAGCATTTCATACTGTTTTACTCTTGTTTTTCATGGAAAAGAATTATGTGACATCCCACTTTAGCAAGGTTGAGCCTTAAAAGGGTTTTCTGACAAAAAAGAGGTAGATAAAACAGAAAAAGAATAGTCAAGGGAGGTCCTGAGGCTTTTTACCTAAGCAAATAAAAGAGTAGAGTTTCCACTTACTAAAATGAGAAGACTATGGAAAACAGATGGCTGAGCAAAAGGGTCTACAATTCAGTTTTTATTTCTGAGATACCCAGTAGACATTCAAGTGGATAGTGTCATATTTACTGACAAGAATAAACTAGGTCATCAGTAAGGTTCCCTCAAAAGATGAGTATATATAAATCCTAAACAAGAAAAAATTGTCCATAATAGCCATTATCAAAGTTCAGAGTAACAAAAGTTCAGTGAAGCAGAGGTTGAACACAACAAAGACCTGAAAGCTGAACATAATTGAGATGGGTACATAAAAAGACTCTATGGGTGGATAAAAAGACAAAGAGAAGTAAACAGAACAAAAGAGCAGGCAAAAGGAGAAAAGAAGATATTTTACTAATAAAAGGTTTCTCTAAGAACTAGAATGGAAGACTGCATAATAGCAGTTTTGGACAAAAGATGACAAATACAAGGAAAGGTCTCTAAAGTCTGTACAGTAACATAAGTCACTATTCATGACTGACAGCCAAGGCATACAATGGAACTGAATAAGACTGAAATGGAGTACTAGAAGAACAGGCTCTTAGGAACAAACACTAAAATATGAGAAGGGCAGGCTATTAAGAACAAATACTAAAATAAATTTGAGGACAAAATGAGACTGAAATAGATGAAAAGGAGGACTTCTAAGTGGAGATATCAGACAAACAATGCAATGGCTTACAAACTGCTACAGATTAAATTATCTATCAATAAGTTACTAACATTTCTGTAAGACATAAGAAAAACTGTGATATCTATGATTTCATGTAAGCTTCATAATCCCTTGAAAATAATACACTAAAATCTGAGAGTTTAAAGTTCAGATAAAAGATGAAAATGCACCATAGAGGAAGGGAAAAAAAACAAAAAGCCTAATATTTGTAAAAGTTATTTTCACTATTAATGCAGAGATAAAACCTTAGCTGTGCTTTGGAAATTTTTTTTAATTAGATGGAAATAAAGTTAGGAAAGGTAAACTGGAAGGACTTGAAAAACAAGAAATAAAGATCCTTCAGCACATGAGCAGACTATCACAGGAAGACAGCAAGGGAAGAAGACAGGAAAAGAAGGCACTAATGGAGAAATTCTCACATCGGAGAGAAGTAGAGGTTACCTATTATGGCAGGAAGATAGTGTGAGTCCAAGAGTTCAGGTCAGCCAAGGCAAATTGGGGGAGAGGTGAGTGGAGGAGGAGATAAAAGAAAGGGAAAGAAGGACAGAGGGAGAGAGGGAAGCATAGAGGCAGGCAAAAATTCTCATCTAATAAACAGGATACTCCCCACATACATTAAGATTTGAAAAACCAGTTCATAATCCTACTTCTTTTTTTTTTGCTTATGTGGTGCTGAGGAATCGAACCCAGGGCCTCAGGCATGCAAGGCAAGCGCTCTACCACTGAGCCATCTTCCCAGCCCATTCATAATCCTACTTCTAAAAAGTCACTTGTTTCTCAGTATCTCATTTTTTAAAATCTGTTTGCCCCAAGAACTTTGATAACAAAATAGAAATGAGTGTAAAGAGATTTAAAAAGAAAATTAGGCAAATATGTTACACAATTAATAATGTACAAATCATAAATACATGTCAATGGTTATATGTATTTATAAGCTAAACATTTTTCATGCCACTAACTTTTTATCCATACCACAATTCTAACAACTACAAGTTTATTAATGGAAACAATAACTATAGCAATTTACCTTTGCAGTCAGGAGAAGGGCTAAAAGAAGTGTTCCTATTACTAGCAAAAATATGATAAAAATGCTAATTATTTTATCTAACATCTTCTCCAACCAGATGATCATCTGTACAGAAATGAAAAACAGAATTACCTGTCTTTAAAAACAACTTAAAAAAGAAAATACCTATTCAAATATCATTAAGACTAATTAGAATATTCAACACTGCAAAGCAAACTATAGCATACTGATTAAAGCAATAAAGGCTATAAGCAAGTTTAGAATATTATCAAACAATATTAAATATTGCTATTATGTGTAATTCATTATTATCTAACACAAGCTAGTCAATTAGAATATAATCTATACCCATGTTTGAATTTTCATGCTATGATACATATACAATGCAAACTATAATTCATAACCTAGTAAGTATTCTAAATAATGATAATTAGCTAACCTAAATCTTGTGAAGGTATACTGTCAGTTAGCAAATATAGATGACTTTAGAAAAAGCATGCTCCTTATAATTCAGAGGTGTGTCCTAAACTACACAGATACATTGGAAGCAAATTAAAATAGCAATTACACTCAAGATGTTTCCTTTTGACTTCATTAGGGTTATAAATATAATAATAAAAATCTAATGTGAAGGCAATGGTGTATAACAAATTCCTGATAATAATTCTTTGGGGCATGAGGGGTTGGAAGGAGAATGCATAGCTAATTATTTAGTTTTATCAAACTGGCATTCCTTAATCCTTTTTAAATTTATAAGTATTTTAAGTTTAAAAATTAAAAAAATTAAATTTTAAACAATTTTAAATTTTAAAAGTTTGTAAAATTCCACTTCAACTTTCTATTATGTTGAAAACACACTTTATGGCATAATCATAATTAATCAAATGTACATGAATGATCAATGTAGTGGTTGCTCCTTATTCAAATTAAGCTTTCTAAATGCTATTTAATATTGTTTTGACTATAACTTCCCTTCATCTTTCCTAAGTAATTCTACATTTTAAATAACTTTGGTTTTCAGAATATATAACAATGATGATTGATTTATACAGCTCCTGCTATGCAAACTATCATTTAATTTCATATCTACATGCAATTTTAGATGTTAAGATACAACACTGCATCCCTCAATACCAACATAAGCCATAGCAATGCTAAATTAAGTTAAATTTGAATTATACTTTGCAGTGAGTTAAATACTAAAAGCAAACAATGTTAAAAAGCCACCTTAAGATCTAAACCATTTTTCTACTAGATGCTTATAAGTTTGTTGTTCCCCTTATCTTTGTCTTTCAAGAAGCACAGTCACTGAGATAATGTTATACTGAACTCAAAAGACAGAAAGTTAATGAATAGTTTTCACAACCAGAGCTTCTAAAAGAAAAGTTATGTATGTTTCAGTGCATGCTATCAAAGCATTGAACACCAAAAGCATCAAAGACAATGCAGTATTTTAAACAAAACGGTTAAAAGGTTTCAAAGATATGGAAGGTCAGGTGCCTGGTTCTGAAGGTTAAGTTACAAAATCAGCTAGATGAGAAAGTTTCACAATCAGAAACCAGCTAAACACTTAGTGCCTAAGAAAGCGTCCAGAGGAAGAGGTTTCCTTTTTGTAGCTGGAAAACCTAGCACTTCTAGCATGCAGTATGTACTCAATTAATACAAACTAGAACAGGTAGCATAAGGAAATTTCTGACATACAACTAGATTTGTATCCACAAATAACAATAACGTGAAAATAACATAGAAGTTGATTTTTTAGGAAAGTCATATTGTGAAATGTGTTTTTAAGTGAAAAAGATACTATTTAGAAATTAAAAATCTAACTTTATATCTAGGTTGGATTAACATATAAAACAAGGAACACGCCAGGCACTGGTGGCTCATGCCTGTAATCAAATCTACTCAGAAGATCTTAGGATCTTGGTTTGAAACCAGCTAGGCAGGAAAGTCCATGAGATTCTTATCTCCAATAAATCACTCAAAAACCAGAAGTGGTGCTATGACGCAAAGTGGTAGAGCATTAGCCTTGAGCAAAAGAGCTCAGAGATAGTGCCCGGGCCCTGAGGTCAAGCCCCATGATGGACAAATGGGGGAGGGGGGGGGAACACTCATAAACATTTATATTGACATTACAAAATCTAACTTTGGTTAAGAGAATATGATTTTCTCAATACCAACTTTGTCAGGAATAAAGTACAAAGTATTTACTTAGAACTAAAACTTGTTTATTTAAAACTAAAATTTATTCATCAAGGTATTAGGAAAAGTATTATTCTGAGGTGTGGGAACAAGAAAAAGCATTGGAGGTATCAATTGATCAAAGCACATTATTTTCTTTTTCTTTTTTGGTCGGTTGTGGGGCTTGAACTCTGGGCTTGGGCACAGTCCCTGCACTCTTCAGCTCAAGGCAAGCGCTCTACCCCCTGAGCCACAGCACCACTTCTGGTTTTCTAGTGGTTTATTGGAGATAAGAGTCTCACGGACTTTCCTGCCCGGGCTGGCTTTGAACCTTGATCCTCAGATCTCAGCCTCCTGAGTAGCTAGGTATGAGCCACCAATGTCCCACTTTTTTAATTGATTTCCCATTCATTCTACTTAAGCATTTTATATACCAAAATTACCCAATGTTGCAATTTTCTGACCTTAGATTTTTTTTTTGCTTTTTTTTTTTGGGGGGGGGGTCCGGTCGTGGGACCTGAACTCTGGGCCTGGGTGCTGTCCCTCAGCTCTTCAGCTCAAGGCTAGAGCTCTACCACTTGAGCCACAGTGTCACTTACGGCTTTTTTCCTTTTTGCTTATGTGGTGCTTAGGAATTGAACCCAGGGCCTCATGGATGCAAGGCAAGCGCTCTACCACTGAGCCACCTTCCCAGCCCCTAGATGTTTTATAATCTAAAATCGTCCTATGAAATAAGCCTGAACTTATTTTGCTTTCCTGAAACATTCACTCAGGATGTCAAGGAGTTGTACTTCAATTCCACAGGAATGTTTTATGTATGCTTCTGTAATCACAAAAATAAATATAATTGTTGCCATATATGCGTGGTAGCTTATGCATGTAATCCTAGCTACAATTGAGGCTGAGGACTGGGAAGTAAAGTCCTTCAGACTCTTATCTCCAATTTATGTACCAAAAAAGCTGCAACTGGACTGTGGTTCAAGACCTAGCCTTGAGCACAGAAGTTCAGAGCAGCACCAAGGCTAGGGTACAAGCCTCAGGACCAGTTAAATACATACATACATACATACATAAATAGTTGGTTTCTTAGGAATCTTTTTGAACTAAATAATTCAGCTATTGGCCAGAAGTTTGTAAGTTAGGTTAAGTCATTTAGTTCACTGAGGGTGGATCAAATTGTATCTAATTAACCCAGCTATTCTTTATCTTGAGGATAATTTCAGTTCCATATAAACAAATTACAAAAACATACAAAATCATCTACTTTGGTAGTAAAATGTGACTTTGCATATCATTTCCAAAGAACTAAACATATTTATTTATAGGGAATAGAGTTGTATCACAACCATGTATAGGTCATATAGGAGCAGTAGAGAATGAGTATACTTTGCACACTGCTGATTTTCCATTTAAATTTAAAATTTCAGGTGTCATCAAATTTCTCCATACCTCCATTTCAACTGGAGGGGGAGAGAGGAATAAGGGGGAGAAAAAGAAAAAGGAACTATAATCTCCATATTCCAAAGTCTGATTTGGGACTGGGAGTATAGGTCAGTGGTAGCATACTTGCCTACCATGAAAGAAACCTTAAGTTTGATATCCAATAATACAAAAATTAAGAATAAATGTAATCTATTTTCAAGAAATACCCTTATAGAATGATGTGTTTTCACTAAAGACTTTTGAGTCATATGTTTAAATAGAATACATGTAAGTACTGTTTCCACTTGCTATCTGTTCAAAGCATTCCTAATATATTTGGATTACTATTACTGAAGTTTTTTGAAATGTAGCTACTATTCCATGCCAACCATGAAAAGGAGCTAACACAGATAAAACCTCAAGTCTCTGGAAACACAAAATTAGCCATTACAGGCCCTAACTACAAGCTATCTTAAGTTAAAAATAAAATTATGGAAACGACATTTTTTTTTAAAAAGAGAACAACAGATAATAGAAATACTTCAGACTTGTCAGGGTTTTTTTTTAATTTGCATTATTTGTAGAAGAAAAAGCAACAGAGTTTTCTTTGCTTTCCAGTAACTATTGCCTGATGTCTTTTCATACAACAAAGGAAAACAAACAAGGCATCATAGTATGTGCCTTTAATCTCAGCACTTGGGAGGCTGAGGCAGGAGGATGGCATGTTCAAAATATATACAAGATCTTGTTTTAAAAAGAAAAATAGAGACCCTTTTTTTTTTTGGGTCAAGTCGTGGGGCCTGAACTCTGGGCCTGAGTGCTGTCCCTCAGCTCTTCAGCTCAAGGCTAGCACTCTACCACTTGAGCCACAGTGCCACTTCCGGCTTTTTTCTTTTTGCTTATGTGGTGCTGAGGAATCAAACCCAGGGCCTCAGGCATGCAAGGCAAGCGTTCTACCACTGAGCCAACTTCCCAGCCCAAAAAGAAAAATAGATAAAAATACATCAGAATAGCCACATTATAAGAAAAAAGATATGGAAATTATTTACAGTGGACATATGGACTACAATACTGAATTTCTTACCAACCTTGGAAATGAGGTACCTAAAAACCTTTGGTTAGCAAATTTCACTGTGACAGTACTCATGCCTCATGACCTTCCATAGCTTATAATTAGAATTTTTAAAATAAAAGCTTAGTTTGACATATGGACAGAAACACAAGTGAGAAAGGAGATACTAGAGGGAAGACAGGGTTACATCCATGTGTTCATTTACCTTCTTATTTAGCCAGTGCCAGAGCTTGAGGACAGGGGATAAGGTACGAAAGAGAAGATAAGAACAGTGGCATATCATTAGAGAATGCAGTAATAGTATGAAAAGAAAAGACAGTCACTGAGAGGATGAGGAGGAAATTGTCAGGAAAAACAGGGGGAAAAGGAAATGCATTACCAAAGTTTTAATCAAGAGAATGTAAATAAACAATGATTGTTTAAGATAAACAATGACTGAAATGATAACCACAAATTCTGTTGATAATCCAACAATTAAAAATGTGGAAAATAACCTGAATGCTTGCAAGCTCAGTGTTTCATCTTTTGCATTGCTCCATCTCCCAGCTTTTACCTGACATGTCTCTAATAAATTCCAATTTATGCTTCAAAATTGGCTGACATTATTCCCTCAACAAGGCTTCCCTTTCCACCATCACCAACATAAGGCAATTCTGGCTCAAATATATGCATCCCATACATTCTTTTCCAATGCAAATTATAACAATATCTAACACCTAAAATAGCTTACTGAACCCACCAGCCACAGATAGAGGGATTTATATATGTATTAGATCACTTAATTCTCCCAACCATTCTACAAGGTAGGTACTATTATACTTATTTTATTGATTAGGAAACCAAGGCACAGAAAAGTTAAGAAACATGTCCAAGGTCACCAGAGTAGTAACACAAGTGAGATCTGAAACCAGAGTTTGGATTTAGAATCCATACTTTTTTTTTCCGTTGATTGTGGGGCTTGAACTCAGGGCCTATGCACCGTTCCTGAGCCTCTTTGAGATCAAGGCTAGCACTCTACCACTTGAGCCATAGCACTACTTCCAGTTTCTGAATGGTTAATTGGAGATGAGAGTCTTACAGGGTTACTTCAAACCATGATCCTCAGACCTCAGCCTCCTGAGTAGCTAGGATTACAGGTGTGAGCCACCAGAGCCTGATGAATCCATACTCTTTACAAACTAAGCCTTTGAGTTTTCCTAAATTGCTTCCTCTTTCCTCTAATAAGCTTTACTTGGTTTTCCAAGATGCATCTGATTTTGTCTGGAACTCAGCATACTATCTGACAAACAGGAATCACTCTAAAAGTATTCACCAGACTAAACCCCTAGCAAATTACCTGATTTTCAGCAAATCACTTAACTTCTCTGGATTTTAATGTGGTCCTAAGCCAAGGAGTCGAAGTCAGTCTTCTGTAAAATCATTTTCTCCCATTCTTAAGAGGAAAAAGCACACAATACCTATTCTAACTTATTAACCATTCCATCCTTACTGTGACCCATTCAAAGCTATAAGATTGTATCATCAGTATTCACAAAATAAACATGCTACTTCATAAAATGGAATTATTTCAAACCATGAAATATAAAAACTCCATTAAAACAGTCCCAGTTCTTAACATACCTTGCTATCAACTTTTAACAGGAATTTTCCAAGCCCAATAATTGGCCATGGGGCTAAAGCCTCCTGCCGCTCCTTCAGGAAGCCTTCAACAACCTGCCACCATACCCGGCACCGTTTCTCCAGGAAGTCCACAACTCCAAAGTGAATGACAAGCTTTTTGATTATCCAGACTATAAGGACAAAAAAAAAAAAAAAAGCATATGTAGACAAATTATAGATTAAGATTAAAGTTAGAACATGAAAAGGTTTATGAAACAGTAAAATAGTATTAAAATAAACATTCAAAAAGGAGGGTGGGGGAGTTCAAGGATTGGCAAAGTAACTAAAACTCTCTCTACCCATATACCATGTTCTGTGAAATCTGTGAAGCCTGAACCCCTGGGAGAATCAGGGATTATTCTATAGCCCACATCAATGTAAGCTCTTATCACGAAAATGGCAGATAGTAAATGGCTCCCACACCACCCCTTGTTAAATAAAGAAAACTAACTCCTGACACTTCTCAATCTCCGTGGTTATTACAGCACTCTTCCCAAATTTTGTTCTTAAATGTCCTGGTATTCAGTGACTATAGAAGTATAAGGTATACCATACCCATGGAATTAGAACTCTATTCTACTGCAGGGAACAGTTTCCCACTGTGACTTCTTTCCTTACTTGATGCTCTAAACAGACAAGGCTCTACATTGCAAGCTACCAAGTGCATGCAGGGCTGCTGCTGCAAGTGGCCCTGAGGTTTTGCACAAGGAGATGAGTTTGTGGTACTATTAGGATATCCAGTACTGTAATGGCAAATATTCAATAAGCTCTGTCAGGTAACTAGAGAAGATTGGAGTTCAGGACAGAGGGAAATTCCTGTTGAATTTCTGTTAAAGCCAACTAAGAAGGTTGAGGGGCCACAAGAAGTGTTCCTGATCCCTGAGATTTCACTTCAAGTTTGGACCTGGATAACTGTCCCTCTCTAGTATCATTTCCCTAATGCCAAGGATTCACTTTCTTAAGCTCATCCTTAATTCCAGAAGGTTCAGTTTAATATTTTAAGCCATGAGCTCGTTACATACCAGTTCAACAATTTCTTCATTAGCATTTTTAAATCACTATTGACTATCATATTAGAGACTGTGGAAAATCCTCCCTGGGCCACCTTATTGAATCTATGTTCATAATAAATTCTTCTGATGATCAGAATGTTCAGATATGAAACTTAACAGGAAAACCTAACCCCTGCCAACAAACTTTAAGGAAAAGGGGATCCAATCTGCACCCATACATGATTTGCCAACATAAAGAAATCATCTTGGGAAAAAAAAAAAAGACATCTAAAAGAGCAATTTAAATTATGTTTCAGTAAGCATATCTACAAATTTCTTAACAGAATGCATGGCAATAGTATGTTCACTATGACTTTAATTATAATTGCATCTTATTATTAATTGTCATGTTCCAAAGATAAGGACATAAGAAGTAGAAGCAAACTTAAACTATTGACATTGCCAATTCCCTAAATACAGGCACCATATACTGCTCTGGTCAAAACAAATGTTTAAAATAATGGTTAGCTATTTAATTACCTAGCCAATTGAATGAGAACAATGCAGGGTAAAAACTAACTAACTAGAAGGTAAATAGGCAAGTAAGTTTAGACTTTAGGGTCATTGTACAGGCTCCCAAAAATCATGTTTTAATCAATGAAGAATCTTGATCTGGAAGATGAAGACTAGTGAAATGCAGGAGAAACCTAGATAGTAGAATTCACAGCCTCCATTGAGGACTTAGACTATATAATAAGAAGAAAGTAAATAATCAGAGATGTTCTCAGATATACCTGAGTCAGAGAAAACTTTTTCCTTACTCTTGTCAGTCTTCAGAAAAACAGCTTTCACAAAAATAAGCCCAATTTAGGTAAACCTCAAAAGACTACAGTACAGTACTAAAGTACCTGATTTAATGAGGTGAAAAAAAGCGTAAGATTTCTTTTTAATACAGCTACATGTGTGTACATATATGTGTGTGTATCTATATATTCAAAACACACATGCACACACATAATTTTTATAAGTCCATCTGTAGACATACATAAGCCTATATTTTCTTTAGATTAAATGCATACTATAAATGAACAAACAGACAAAAGGAAAATAAAATAAAACAGGAGGGTAAGAGATTATTATACAAATGGTAGGACAAAGGATAAATTAATGCAAAAGTGGTACTCACTAGATGCTATGTTGAAAATGGGGTCTGGGAAGGTGGCTCAGTGGTAGAGCGTTTGCCTTGCATGCATGAGACCCTGGGTTCGATTCCTCAGCACCACATACGCAAAAAGAAAAAAGCCAGAAGTGGTGTTGTGGCTCAAGTGTTAGAGAGCTAGCCTTGAGCTGAAGAGCTGAGGGACAGTGCCCAGGCCCAGAGTCCAGGCCCCACGACTGGAACCAAAAAAAGAAAAAAGAAAATGAACTATACAAGGGAGGGCAAAACTGGGAGAGAACGAGGGAAGCGTTGACACTGTTCAAAAAGAAATGCTTTATTTGACATATATAACTGCAAACCCTCTGTACATCACCTTTATGATAGCAATAAAAAAAAAATGCATGAAGCTGGGCACTGGTAGCTTCCTAAGTCACTCAAGAAGCTGAGATCTGAGGATTACGGTTGAAAGCCAGCATCAGCAGGAATATCCATGAGACTCTTATCTCCAATTAACTACCAGAAAACTGGAAGTGGTGCTATGGCTCAAATGGTAGAGCACTCATGAAGACGAGTGAGCTGAAGAGCTCAGGGACAGGGTCCAGGCTCAGGGTTCAAGCCCCATGACTGACAAAAAAAAAAAAAAAGCTACACTCTAAAAACGAAAATGCAATGCTCAAATTTCAACCACAAATCCACAGATTAAATCATTAACATTCTTAACTGCCTTAAGTACCACATAAAATATAAGAGGCTAATGAATGTATTTCAAATTTAAAAGTGAAATATTAAAGAAATATCAAAGCAATAAATTTCCAGAATGTTTGCTGCTCATGACTTAAGTACAAACATGTAACTGTTTTATTTTAAATAATAGTGAAATTATCTCAAACATCAAAATCCAACAATAAAAAGAAAAAGGTTATCAGAGACAAGCAAGATCATACTTAACCAGACAATGACCTGCAATGGGCACTGGCAGCAACTGCACAATCCACAAGTTCAGCCAGAGCTGGACAACTATGATGGCCCAGCCAAGAGACACAAAGTAAATGTCACTAGTTTTCTTCTTTCTGAGAAAGGTTCCAATCTCAGGCCTTTGTCTGCCCAGAGTGGGTGAAGGGGAGGAAGGACAAGAAGGGGAAGAAGGGGAAGAAGAAGAAGAAGAAGGAGGAGGAGGAGCAGCAGCAGACAATGTTGGAGGAGGTTCGCCTTCCTTGTCCATAGATTCTGAAAAGAGAATGGGGAAAAAAAATAATGTGCTATTTCATCCACAATGGGAAACAACACAAAGTAATTTGTTAGACAAGCCTACTGCAAGCCTTCAAAATACATTTCAATACTATTCAGTATGATTATATTAAATTAGTCAAAAAGATTTGCATATGCACTGAAAAACTTGAGAATTATGCTGCTGACAATGTTGGAATTTAGGGAAAGGAAATTTGTTGGGAAGTAGATTTGGGAAACAAAGAATATCTTAATGTGTGTGTGTGTGTGTTGGTCCTAGGACTTGAACTCAGGGCATAGGAGATGTCCCTGAGCTTTTGTGCTCAAGGCTAGGGCTCTACCACTTCAGCCACACCTCCACTTTGGGCTTTTCAATGGTTAAAAGAGGCTCATTGACTTTACTGCTGGGGCAGGCTTTGAACCACAATCCTCAGATCTCAGCCTCCTGAGTGGCTAGGATAACTGGCATGAGCCACTGGCACCCACTTGGAATATTTTACTTTTTACTTTATACTGTTCCAGGTTTTAAATATATATATATATATATATATATATGTATGTATATATTTATAAGCATATATATATAACTCAAAGACAATAGTAAGAGAAAAGTATATAACAAAGTAGCTGAAAATTGTACTTATTCATTGAAAGTATATGACCAAATAAAGCACAAATATATATACTACAACCTCTCTAAGAATTTCTCCCTGTTTACTACATTTGTAGTATTAAGGATGGGACCTGGGCTTTATGAATATTAGGCAAGAGCTCTAACTCTGAGCTACAATCCCAGCCATCTTTCTCTTTTAACACAATTTTAGATTTCACTATGGGGTATATTCTGCTTTCTTGTTTTGATGAGACACATCATATACATCAAATGTCATATAGCTCTCAAGGCAATATTATTCAATACACATCATGATGACAGAATTATCAAAATTATAAAACTTGGGATTTTTGCCTTTCACTTAAAAATCGTTAATTATGAAAGTATATCATGTTAGGAAAATGGAGAACAGAAAAGGAATATCATATTTCAGAAAGTCTAGAAAAAAGAAACAATACTCATAATCTCAACCCCCTACTATTTGTCCAAATCTTTAAAAAATTTTCATATATTATCATTTTCCACATTCTCAGCTCAAGTGAGCTGAATGACTAAGATCTGGTCTCCTTTATTCTCCCCACTGAATTGCTAATACATAGAATTGTCCCTGATATACAATTAGCACACTAATATTGGCATCATAATTTCCTTAGTGTTTCTTTTCATGTTAAATGTTTAGCTTTAAATTTTATAGTCAAGATAACATGCACTATGATATAAGTCAGTCAGCCCTCCTCACTAGGACTGCACTTGGTACCCTGACAGGCAAGCCAGTTATATTATACTTCTGTTTGGCTTTGCTAAGTATCTTTCCAATATGAAAGTTACAGGTTGGTGAGTGTGTCTGTTATTTGGAAAAATGATAGTTCCATTAAAAAAAAAAAACATCCTCGCCAGGCACCAGTGGCTCACGCCTGTAATTCTAGCTATACTCAGGAGGCTGAGATCTGAGCATCGCAGTTCAAAGTCCGTGAGACTCTTATCTCCTATAAACCACAGAAAACCCGAAGTGGTGCTGTGGCTCCAGTGGTAGAGTGCACTCGCCTTGAGCTGAAGAGCACAAGGACAGCGCCCAAGCCCAGAGTTCAAGCCCCATGACTGACCAAAAAAAAAAAAAAATACTATCCTCTGTTCACTTTGGAAACATGATTCAATGTGGAAAATGTGTCTTCTAACACTGAATGCCTTTCTCTTAGCTGATTTCGTTCTTCAAGAGTGCACTATAAACGTCCCCTAATTCCAAATATCTTTGCCACTATCAGACATGTCAACATAGACAGGATGGTCTTCCACATTCCTGAACTCTATGAGAGCAATATGCTGCTTCTAAATCTAGTACAAATCTACCAGCTATATCTTTCAGGAGCCTGCAATGCCAGAAGCCAGAAAAACATGTTTTAAAGAGGACATGTTTTAAAGAGGACAGCATGAGGCATGAAAATCTAACCTTTAGAATGACAAAGAAATGGCTAACTAGGACAAAGAAAATAAAAGCCATATTTCCTTCTCCCTCCTGAGAGGTTCATATAAGGAAGAAGGGGAGAGAGCACAAGCAAGTGAAATGGGTAAAAGAAAGAAAAGAAAGCAACAGAATAAAGATCAAAATAAAACAAAGAGAACTTGCAGCTGTAGAAAATGAAATAGAAAATAAGGGAGTCAGAAAGTGGGGAAGAATAGGACACTGGGAGACAGAGGGAGGGAATGAATGTTAAGAATAAAAAAATGAGAAAAGCCTTGTTTGTTTGTTTTTGTCAGTTGTGGGGCTTGAACTCAGGGCCTGAGAACTGGCTCTGAGCCTCTTTGTGTTCAAGGCTAGGACTCCACCACTTGAGCCACAGTGCCACTTCTAGTTTTTGAGTGGTTAATTGGAGGTAAGAGTCTCACAAGGGACTTTTCTATCCTGGCCGGCTTCAAACCATGATCTCAGTCTCCTGAGTTGCTAGAATTACAGGCCTGAGTCACCGGTGCTTTGCTGAGAAAAGCCTTTTTTTAAAAAGTAGGGAGAAAGGGGATGGGAAGTTGGCTCAGTGGTAGAGTGCTCGCCTTGCATGCTTAAGGCCCTGGGTTGATTCCTCAGCACCACATAAGCAGAAAAAAAAAGCCGGAAGTGGCGCTGTGGCTCAAGTGGTAGAGTGCTAGCCTTGAGCTGAACAGCTGAGGGACAGCACCCAGGCCAAGAGTTCAGGCCCTATGACTGGACCCCAAAAAACAAAAAAGTAGGGAGAAAGCCAAGCTAGGAACCCCAAGTGTGTAAATAATTAAGTTCATGAAAAGTAATAAGGTAAGAGTGAAAAGGTATAAAAATAGTACTCAGGAATAGTACTCAGAAAGCCTAAGTAGCATTGTGTGATGCTAGTATATCACATTTTTCAGAAAACCCTTGAATGCTTTCAGTCACCTGCAGGCAGAGTGGAGGGTTGATCTTCACTGCTTGACTCATACCCTGTGATAGAGATGGCCAGATTTGCCAGAGTAGAAGCTGCCATGGAGATAACTTGCCCTGGTAATTCTGCCCCTGTTTAAAAAAAAAAAAAAAAAGTTTTAAAGCAAATGAACAAAACAAGAAATGCATAATTTAACAATAATGCAAAATTTTCACCAGAAATGAAACAAAATAGTTATTTCTGATTCACTGGACCTTTCTTATTTTTCCATGTAGAGGAATGCTCAAAAAAACAGCAACATTCAAGTCTTAGAACTTTCTGTGTATTTGGGAATCTGGTGTGGATAACAAATGCTGAATATGTATATCTGAAGTACTAGGCTTATAATTTTTTTTAACTTCACAAGAAAACCTCCTCCCTACCATGCCATCCCACCAGTACTGGAATTTGATTCATACCTCCAGTCTTTTATTTTGGCTGTTTTTCAGATAGGGTCTCTCACATTTTTGCCTGAGCTGGCCTCAGATTGCAATCCTCCAACCTGTATTTCCTACCTAGCTGGAATTATAGATTACTATGCCTGCCTTACTGAGATAGGTATCACTAACTTTTACACAATCTGGCCTCAAATCAAAATTCTGCCAATTTCTAACCCCCACCCCCAGCCCACTCCATTCCCCTGAGTTACTGTGATTAGAGGCATGAGCCACTGTGCTGCAGTTGACTGTAATGCACACTTCTGCTGAAAAGCATACCCGAAGCAAGTTTGAGAGCTCTTTGGATTAAACTGTCTTACTCTACTTTGTATTACTAGTTTCTAGTACAGTATCAGAGAATCCATATTTGATATTCTCGTAATAACATTCGATAAATATGTAAATGCATGGATATTGTGCAAAACCATATAGATCCACAAAATAAATAATCCACTGGAGGCAAAATCCACTACTTGGAAAAAACATCATTATACATTTCCATGTTAAGTTTCTAATAGGTAGTGCCAAGATGAATCATCTGCACTAGATTCAAATAAAACAGTTACTAGCAAGTAAGGTCTATTTGAAATGGTCACTTTTTAAGCCACCATAGCATATGATGCAGACTAACTCACACAACATTATGTTCTAGTATAGTTTCTTACACAACAGAGGCTGAAAAGGACGGACTGTATTTCTTACTCTTTTGCAGCAAAGCAAATCACATGTAATGCAATTTTTACCAAGCAAGAACTTCTATGTGCAAGACAAGAATATCACAGTATCATTGGGAAGGGGCACAGTTCTCATGTCAAGCAGCCATGGAGACATACAGTTTTACTGTGGCAACTCAACAGAAGTTTGTGATGTCTGATTCATGGCTGGTGGAAATAACTAAATAGTCCTTTAGCGTCCAAGAGCTTTTCTTCTGGTTGCACTGATTCTACCTATATACGAGCTAAGCTTAGATGACTAGTCTTTCCAAAATTCATGGTTCAAAGCCAGCTGGGGCAGGAAAGTCTGTAAGACTCTTATTTCCAATTCATCACCAGAAAACTGGAAAAACTGGCACCTTGGCTCAAAGTGCTAGTCTAGGCTTGAGCAAAAAAGCTCAGGGACAGTGCCTAGGACCTGAGTTCAAGCCCCACAACCCACCCCCCCTCTACCCACCTTCCCAAAAAAAAAGAAGAGAAGAAGAATCTCTGGTTACCCTTTGCTCAGTTTTCCCCAATGTAAATGTCTTGCAGAACTGCAGGCAGAACTGTAGGAATACAAGATACAAAACAGTATCCTCACTACAAGGATCTTACCCCTTGCCTTTTGTAATTGTATTCACCCCCCTTCTACCCCACTTCTACCTTGTAAATAAATGACTAGGTTTGAAATGTAAAGATCATTCTTGCTTGTTTGAAGAAAAACAGAAGACCTAAAGAGACCTCAGGGAGATAAGCTACTATGGTATTATAGGCAAGATGTAGTAACAGCACAGTTCACAGTGGCAAAAGGAAAAGTAGAAGTGACCAGACTCAACAGGCAGGGAGAAGTCAAAGTAGACCACTCTCCATGACTAACTAGAGAATCAAAGGTACAGGTGTGTAGGTTTCCAGATTACAATTAAAACAATAAATGAGGAATCGGATAATGATGCTAAAAGTCTGTTAAGAATTCTAGACATAAGTTTCACAAAGAGACTAAGGGCACCAGAGACAGGACAGGATTAGTTTCTTAGAAGCAGGCCCAAAGGAGATGTCTTAGGATCCACTCAATAACAAAATTTGTAACACTTAATGTCTCAAGACAGTAAGATAGAAATAGAAAAGATTGGGGGGAGGAGAGGAGCCTTCCAGTCAAAATGCTAAAAAGTAGTATTGTTCTGATTTCTACAAAATGGACAACGAGTCAAAGGTCCTAAATTGCTAAATACACTGTACACAAGCAATTCAATTAAGTGGAGGCTCACTCCCCGCCTTCCTCCAGGGTCAAAGACAGGTTTTATCTGGAAGAAAGCTTTACCATACTAAACAAAACAGTTGATCAATGCCAGCGGTGAGCTAAGAATTTCCACAGCATTCTCAATAATGTTCATTATGTACTTTTTAAAGTCTACAAATACGAATACACTGGAAAAGCAGCATAATACAGCAGCTAACATCAATCTAGACCACTTAAGATTGTAAAAATGTTGTTGACAGCTTCAAAGATAATGGATATCATTCTAACAAAATACACAAAGCTTGTCCTTGAATAAGAGGGTGGCTCATTTTGAGGCACATCGAAGTAAGTTTCTTGGTGTCTTTTATGTAGCTCCAAAATTACAAAATCATCTTAGATCTCCTCAAATATGTACTTTCATTCAGCTTCACTTTAACTTACATTGCTAAATGTCACCACCACCACCCCCCTCCCCCCCAAGCATTCACTCACTGAAGAGGTGACTGGGCCATTAAGCTGAGATAAGAAACTAAAACACCAGCCTCAAGGTCAGCCTAACGATAAAATCTCCAGTTAGAATCCAGTATATTATATATAATGTTAAGTAGCATAGGAAGTGTGTGGGGCTATAGGATGGAAACCTAATCCATGCTGGGAGATCAGAGAAGGTTTCCAAAGGAGCTATTTCCAAGAATATTCAATTATGCCACCCTCTAAATCCACTTTCCGCAAACACTAACCAGATTAAAAAAAAATAGAACAAATCTACTCTGGAGAAGGACTGAGAGAGGCTGGTTCCTTAGAAGACAGGGATGCAAACATGTTCTAAGACAGGCAGAGGAAGAGAAAGAGCAGTGTCCTCTTACAAAGTACTCCAAATCACAGGGTATAATTAGAAGGGTGAATGGGTACATGGAAAACAGAGACCAGAAAATGGAAAGTCTCAGGAGTTCCTGTGCTCAGAGGAAGGACAATTCAGAGATGCAATATATGTGAGAAAACAAGACTACCCAAGTTCAAATCCCAGGCCCAATCCTTACTATGTAGATGACCACAGACGAGTTATTAATGCCTACATCTTTTTTTCCCTATGGGCAAAATGGGGCTGTTGTAAATTCTTATTTCATGACCCAAGTGAACAGTACATATAAAATTCCCATGGTGATGTATAGTATGCGAAAGCACTCAATAAATTGTAGCCAAAACTATTGGTTTTAATAGTATAAACTGTAAGCATAAGCCACCAGGACCAAGATATTTCTCTGTACAACCTAGCCCTTTTACTTAACAAAATATCTATTTGCTTAAGTCTTATTTCCCTTAGTAGATACTGTTCCATCTCCCCTCTGTATAGAGTAAACTAAAATCAATATATTGAATCTTCAAGGCAATGGCTTAAGAACTAACTCTAATAAGAACTAACAGCGAATATACAGTAAATATTCAACAATTTTTGCTAACATCAATAAAACCATGCAAGCTCTTCTAGGTAATATACAAAAGATTCAGCAATTTTTAGACTATCTTGAATTTCACAAAAATATGAAAGGCATAGCACACACAGAAAATCAATGAAGTGTACTTGGGCAAAGGCTATTATCAAACAGGCATTTTAATGAGTTCTCCCACAGTGGAGTCCTTCAGCATTTCAAAACCCTAAGGATCTGAACAGAAGAATGCCAAGGCTAAACTCTAGACAAGGTCATGGTATTCGGTTAAAAAAAAAAGTTAAAAACAAGGGACTCTATCTTGAGACTCAAGCATAGAATTTAAAAAAAAAAAAAAAAGGAAAGAGCATCTAAAGCTTCAAGTATGAATTTCCCCAGGGACAGAGGTAGTATGAATTGAGTATCTGGTTCAAGGAAGAAGGCCACTGACCAGGACAGAAATTCAGACTAGCACGGACAAAGAGAATACACGTTCAGATTAAAATCTGGTAATACAACGAATATAACAACAAGCAGACTAACTTTTTAATAATCATGAGAAGATATATTCTGGAAACATTCTAAATAAAAGGCTACTTCCTAGTCTACTTCATTTTCCCAGTAATAGTGGCAGTTGGCAAAAATGCCTGCAAAGATGCCTGCTAGATGGAGGCACTGAATACCTATCAACTAAAGCATACCCAGCTTGCAAGGTTTCCTTTGAAGAAACCTGATTCTACTACTAATGTGGAAAATACATCTTCTTTCAACTGCTTCAAGTGTCACTCAGGAGGCCCTAGATATGGACCAGGAGTTCTTCTAGAACAACTTACCTGATAGCACCATAAATATGGAGTAAGAGGTAAGTAGTAAGTTTAGTCCACTTCTCTACTTTTCCTATTTGAACTTAATTGGATCAAATGTGTTTATTCATATTACATGTGATCCCAACTATTCCCTGCAAAGGAATTTCAGGTCCCCTTATAATTACCAATGTCAGGAAGATCATTCATGATTATTCAAAGGGAAAGAACACTGAGCTAAAGGTCAAAGACCTTAGGTTAAATCTTAGCTCCACCTGTGTAACTGTAGACAAGTCATCTGAACTAAATGCCTACAAGTGCAAACAGATCTGTCATCTATTTTACAAAGCTACTTTTGATTTATTTGTGTGAGTGTGTGTGTGTAGTTAGGGTTTTTTGTTTTTTTTTAAGATTTCAAAAGATAGCACTTGTTGGCAGTATTGATTTTTCAGATAATCTCCCTGTCTAACCTAGGCTGTCCTCAACTCAAAACACTCCTGTCTCAGTCTCCCAACTGCTGGGACTACAGGCATGCCCCATTACCAAGCATATAAAAGTTCCTAACCAGAAATCTGAAACATGTCTGCTTGTTTGTTTGTTTTTTTGGGGGGTAGGGAGGGGTCAAGAGGAGAAGGAATAAATGAATACAGAGAGAAAGAGAAGGAGAATATAGTTATTATATTCAATGTACAAATGTGAAAATGAAGCAAGGTAACTTGAAGGTATGAGTAGTGTTGGAAAAATTGGGGAGAATAGATGATACTGATCGAAATGTATCATACTTAAAAACCCATTTTTGAATTGTCATATAATTACTTAAATTTTTAAAGAAAGTTCTTAGCAAATGGTAGGCATTAAAGCATTTAAATGGCTTTTTTTCCCCCTACACTTGATATTGGACTTTCCAGATATGCTTATAAGAGCTCCCCAGATCAAAGAGAAAGTAACCAAGTTCCCTGGATTTAGAAGATGCTAAAACTAACTCAATAATGATCCAGAAGAGTTTTCTAAACCTAGGGAACAAACTCACCTTTTGATTTCTAATGAAATCAGATATAATTTTTTTCAAAATATTTTCCAGCTTCAGTTGGTTGAACAGATACATGTAGCTGACAGTACATAACTCAGGACAAAAGCAACCCAAAGGGAAAGCCAAACTACAGTGAGGGTAATAAGCAGAGCGATCTGAATCACCTACAACTAGAGAAGAGGAAGAAAAACAAGGTAAAACTTCTCTTTGGTTAGTTTTGTTTTTGTTTTTGTTTTTTTGCTGGTCATGGGGCCTGAACTCTGGGCCTGGGCGCTGTGCCTAAGCTCTTCAGCTCAAGGTTAGCGCTCTACCACCTGAGCCAGGACGCCACTCCCAGCTTTTTTTTTCTGCTTATGTGGTACTGCGTAATCGAACCCAGGGCCTCACGCATGCAAGGCAAGCTCTCTACCACTAAGCCACCTTCCCAGCCCAACAATTCACTTTTAAAAAAATGTATAAGATAGCTATACAAATATATCAAGTGCTATAAATAGCCTTGTAACTTGAATAAAATGAAGATGCTAAAAATAATGCTGTAGAAGAATGTTAACACAGAAATGTGCTCATGACATAATTAAGTTTAAAATGCATATTCCAAAAGAGAATGTTCCCTATGACCCACTTTTTTGTGCTTAAAAAAAAAAGCCAGATGCTTGTGACTCACACTTGTAATCCTAGCTACTCAGGAGGCTGAGATCTGAGGATCACAGTTCTAATTCAGCCTGGGCAGAAAAGTCCACCAGACCCTTATCTCCAATTAACCACCAGAAAACTGAGTGGAGCTGGGGCTAAAAGTGGTAGGGCACTAGCCTTTAACAAAAGAGCTCAGGGACAGCACCCAGGCCCTGAATTCAAGCCCCATGTACAGGAAGAAAAAAAAAAAAGACTTAAGACATATGAACCATTCCTTAGCAGCTCCTAAAAATTTAACTAAAAAACTGAAACTAAAAGTTGGGCGTAGGTGGCTCACGCCTGTCATCCTAGCTACTCAGGAGGCTGAGATCTGAGGATCGCGGTTCAAAGCCAGCCCGGGCAGGAAATCCGTGAGACTCTTATCTCTAATAAACCACTAGAAAACCAGAAGTGGCACTGTGGCTCAAGCGGTAGAGCATTCACCTTGAGCTGAAGAGCGCAGGGACAGCGCCCAAGCCCAGAGTTCAATCCCTACCAAAAAAATAAATAAAAACAAAAACTGAAACTAACAAATTCTACGAAGTTAGATACAAGATCATAAATATCAGTTTTATTTCTAACTATGCACTGGCAATGAACCATCCAAGAAAAAAATTAAGAAAACATTTCATTTATAATTTTTTTAGAAACTAAGGAGTAAATTAAACCAAGTATAACATTCGTACACTAAAAACTGTGGAACACTGTGGAAGAAATTAGAGAACAACTAAATTATTGGAAATACATCTTATGTCCTTTATCTGGAAGGGTTTTTTGTTGTGATAGTGTAAAGATGTCAGTAATCCCCCAAGTGGTTGTAGATTTGACACAGTCCTTATCAAAAACCATTATAGGTCAGGTGCTGGTGGCCAGGCCTATAATCCTAGCTCCTCAGAAGGCTGAAACCTAGAAGATCAAGGTTTGAAGAAAGGCTGGGCAGAAGATCCCTCAATACTCTATCGCCAGTTAACCAGCAAAAATGCCAGACTGGAGGTGTGGCACAGTGGCAGAGCACCAGCCATGACCAAAAAAAAGCCAAGCCAGAGTACAAGGCCCTAAATTCATTTTCTGGGATTGGCACATACAAACACACACACACAAAGACAGACATTTTTGCATAAGTATTGAAGATGATGCCAAAATAGACATGGAAATTCAGGGATCTCAAATAACCAAGACAATCTTGAAAAAGAACAAAGGTAAAAAACACAACTCAACTTCAAAACCTACTACAAATTATAGTCATCAGAACATTGTGGTACTGGCATAGGACAAACACACAAATCAATAGAATGGAAATGGAATGAAATGGGAGTGGGAATACTAGAAATGGAAAAAAATGGAATGGAATGTCCAGAAACAAATCTATTATCTATGCTTGACTGATTTTTTTTTTAAAGAGTACCAAGGGGGGGGGTGGGACACTATGCTAGAACTATATTATTACTTGCCAAAAAAAAAAAAAAAGTTGATCCCTTACCTCCACCTAAATGAAATAGATAAAAAACATAAAGTTTAAGCCAAGTGCCAGTGGCTCATTCATGCCTGTAATCCTAGCTACTCAGGAGGGATGAAATCTGAGGATCATGGTTTGAAGCCATTCTGGGGCAGGAAAGTCTGTTAGACTCTTATCTCCAATTAATCACAGATAGAGACAAAGTGGCACTGTGGCTTAAGTGGTAGAGTGCCAGACTTGCACAAAAGGCGGCTTGCCAGGGAAAGTGCCCAGGCCTACAGTTCAAGCCCCAGGACTGGCAAATAAAACAAAAAAAACAAAAAACAAAGTTCTCAGAGGAAAGTACAGGAGTAAATACTCATTGTATAGGATTTGGTAATAGTTTGTTAGCTATGATACCAAGTGCATAAGTAATGAAAGAAAAAATAGGAAAATTAGACTTCAAAACTAAAGCTTGGGCTGGGAAGGTGGCTCAGTGGTAGAGCACTTGCCTTGCATGCATGAGGCCCTGGGTTCGATTCCTCAGCAACACATAAGCAAAAAGAAAAAAGCCGGAAGTGGCACTGTGGCTCAAGTGGTAGAACGCTAGCCTTGAGCTGAAGAGCTGAGGGACAGCACCCAGGCCCAGAGTTCAGGCCCCAGACCGGACGCCAAAAAAAAAAAAAAAAACCTAAAGCTTTCTGTACATCAAACAAGGCCATCAAGAAAAGACAAACTACGTAATGACAGAAGATACTTACAAACTATATATCTGCTAAGTATTCACATATGTAACAAAACTTAAAGGACTCCTAAAACTCAACATATACATATGGTAGCATATTCGGCCACAAAGTAATAAACTATTGGTACACGTACACTTTCCTTTTGGGATAATGAAAATGTCTTAGAACTAGATGAAGCTAATGGCTGCACAATACTATAAATATACTAAATAAATATTCTAAGTGAGTGATGGTTAATTTCATATGAACTATACCTCAACTAATAAATATTAAAAAATATTTTTTAAAAAATGGTCTAGGGCTGGGAAGGTGGCTCAGTGGTAGAGCGCTTGCCTTGCATGCCTGAGGCCCTGGGTTCGATTCCTCAGCACCACATAAGCAGAAAGAAAAAAGCCGGAAGTGCGCTGTGGCTCAAGTGGTAGAGCGCTAGCCTTGAGCTGAAGAGCTGAGGGACAGTGCCCAGGCCCAGAGTTCAGGCCCCACGACCGGACCCAAAAAAAAAGGTCTAAAAATCTAAGGTATTTTATTGTATTTTTTCTTCCTGTTTTTTCTTGTCTTTTTTTCTAAACCTAAGATATTTTAAATAAACTTATTTTCTATTTAGAAACTACTACAGACTGTTACATAGACTCAAAGAGATTTGATCGTGGCATCATTCAAAAAAACTATTCTTCAAAATACTCTTAATGACAATATTTACAGAATATTGTATTTCTTACCAGCAGACTCTTTCCCATTCTGCTTTTCATAGAGGGTGCCCACAGACATCAAGAAAACAATAACCAGGAATACTGGAATTCTCCATGAGCCAGCCAATGATGCTGAAAATTATTAAGAATATTTTTAGTGAAATAAACACCTAGAACTTTCTTTAAATAATCAGTTTTGAAGACTTACAGAACAATTTGTTGCATATACTTAATAAGTTATTTCACTATGAACATATTTTGAAAGGCCATTAATTAGACAAATCTCAATCCAGGAATTCTTCTAGGTTATCCATGCTCTCTGGTCTTAAGTATGTACCAGCCCATGCTTCAGGGGCTTGTGTCACCGATGGGATTTAGTCCCTCCTAAAGCACATTCAGTTTAAGACCACCCCAAATTCAAACCCCACATGTGAGCCCAAATGAACAGAATCAGGCATAGATCTTCAAGTCACGAAGTCTGATCTGACTTTTCGAAACTATCACTAGGCATGAATTCTTTCAAAAAAAAAAGGATCAAAGAGCCCTCAAGAGCACAGCAAAGGCTTCAATGTATCTTCCTCAGAAAGTCAAGAAAAAAATGTGAACAAGTCTCCAAGGGTGAGGTCTCTACATCTAACCACTTATATGTCCTTGAGTTCCATCTACTACCTTACAGACAGACATACCTGCCTGCTTCCCTTTTCTACCTTCCTCAAACATAAAACAAGTCAAATTAGTATTCCAATAATATTTTGTTCAAATCAAAGTCTAATCAAAAAACCATTTCAATCAACTTTTTATTTGTAACGGTTTTGTTCTAAAAAATATCTTTGACTACCTACTGGATAACTAAATTTTCTTTTAAAATTAGAACTTAGTATTTTCAACAGCTCAGCCATTGAAATATTGAGAACAACCATACATCATGTATCATGCTAAGACCATCATTCTACAACATCGCAGTAGCCACAGAGCTAACAATGAAGGGTTTCGTGTAAGAAGGAACTCACTCAGCAACTTAGACATCAACTACTACTCCTGTTGACTAGGGATTTGTCTTTTGTAACGCTATTCAGATCTGACAGCTACTCCTCACGGTTACAGAGATCTGCTTAACACACTCTTTCACAGGACACAGTCCTTTAAATATGAGATACAGGCCTTCATATTTTATATCCTCATTTCCATGTGCTCTCTCACTCCTGTCTTAGTCCCTGGCTCTTACTCAAGGTATACATCTCTGGTCCCTTTGACTACTTAATACACAGAAGCACCTCTAATCCTTGACTACTTATCTGTATATTCTATAACACTGACATACGAAAAATGACTGTGACAGTTAAGTGTGCTCTACTTCTTACTATATACTTACTTTTAAAGGGCTTTGTTGAAATAGGATATGTAATGTAATTCAAAGCTTGACATTTAAAAAAGAGTACACTTTAATTGAGCAAAGACTTGAGCATGAATTGGGAGTCTGTCAGAGCCAGAAGACATTCAGTCTTCCCAAAAGATCAACATTTTAAAACATATGACTTTTCATTAAAAATTAATGGGAGTAACACATAAGATTCCCCTTTTTAAAAACTTTTACACATAACATTTTACCTGTAACATTACAGAGAACTCACTTTACATTTTAATCTTAAATGTAACACTACAAAGAACTATCCCTTATATAATCAGCATCTGCTAATATTAAACTGGACTTAAAAAAATAAGGAGGAAGAAGAACCCACCTAAATGAAAAAGCAAGATAATCCAGACAGGAATTGAAACTGCTCTCAGATAGCGTTCAGTGCTGGCATTCCACTTGAATGAAACGGTCAACACATAGCCAACTACCAAAGTCCAGATCTTAAATAAAAATGAAACATGGACACAGTTATAATATATATAAATATATATGTAAACATGAAGATGAACATTCAATTATACAACATTTGCAAGTGTCTACATCCCCTGAGTGCTCTAGACATAACACTAGAAAGATGAAGGTGGTTGGTGGTATTAAAGGAACATACTTGATTCTTTCTCCCCTGTTTATTCTGAAATGAACTTGATCTCATACAGTAACACTTAAATATTTAAATGTTTAACAAAAATACCCAGAAACACTTAAAAAGTTAAAATATTCAATATATAAGCTAGGCATGAGTTCCATCTTGTGGAATTCCTAAAATTTTCTCTGCCAATTAATGCCTAAAGGGGGAGAGGAGGAAAGCAAGTTTTCCAAATAGATTAAATTGCCATTTTAGCCTGTTTGTTACTATGAACGCATCATTTCTTAAAAGTAGAAAGGCAGCTACCTGAAGTGTGACACTGCCAGGTAACAGGTAGTTAGAATCTACGTTGAGGTTCAGGTACCAGTTGAAGAATTGATGCCTGAAAATTTTACCAGCCAATCTCCTCTTCTATTCTCCCTAGAACTAAATACCTACCAGCACTTAAGCATCATCCACACTGACCAAGAAGCATTGTACTCATAAAATGACTTAGGGAATTGTAACCAATTCACACAACTACTTAATAAAAACAAAAAAATTAAAAACCGCAAAAGAAAAGAAATATCACCGAGTGTAGCCTACATACCACATAAACTTTGCTTTAATAGAACATTTACAAAAGAATAACTTGAGCACCAAGAACTTATTAAAGTAAGTCTGAGAATATAAAATTCAAGGTTGACATGAGCCTTGGGGGAAAAGCAAATTAAAACCAAAAAAAAAATTAGGACTTAATTCTGAGCATGGTGGTGGGGAAAAACGGTTGGCACTACTACAAAGATGGGAGTGTCAGTCACATCTTCAATAAAAATTACTCATAGGTGTTGGAAATGTTCATAGTTTCTGTCCTAAGAATTCAGCTTTGGACTTTATCCTTACAAAAACAATAGCCTTTGGAAAAGCTTTTACTAAAAAGGGGCTAATCAGAGTGTGATCAAGTATAGTAGAGAGGTAATTTCCTAAAAGATGGGCATCTGGAAAATAAATTAACTATCGATGTTATACAACCATTGAAACTGTTTTTTAAACAAAGAGTATATAGTTTTAAAATTCCTAATATGACATAACCCCAAAAATAAAAGATACATACAACAAAGCCACAAATGACATAACCACATCTACCAAATGGTGGAGGAAGGGAAATGAAAAAGTAGTAGTTGTATTAGAGGCTGGGTATGTTCTTCTCCCACCCTCAGTACTTGAACCCTAGGCCTCAAGTGGACAAAAACCATGTGCTCAACCACAAATTGATCCTTTCACTTTTCTGTTTTCTTCCTAATTGCCTTTCTCAATATATATAATGAAAAGAAGACTACAATACTTTTCTTCCATCAGTTCTATCAGGTGAAACATTAAAAATTAACTCTACCAGGTGAAATATTAAAGAGCTCTTTTTTTGGTACTAAGGTTTAAATTCAGAAATTTGCACTTGCTAAGGAGGTGTTCTACCACTTGAGGGTAGAACACTAAAGCACACATCAGCTCAAATCTATATAAAGGACATGGAGTTTAAGCTCAAGGTCCTGAGTTAATATCCTAGAAGTGTAAGATCAAGCAAATTAACCTCAGAAATTCAAAGAACTCAGTATTTGATTGTTAAGCTCAAAACAAGCAGTGAGTAAAATAATACTATGTGCCACGGAACTAATTTAATCCTCCTATCCACGAAATATGTACACTCCACAGATTAAAGAACTGAGATTTCAAAGAAATGACTTGACTACCATTACACAGCTGGTAAGTGACAGGGCCTGAATTAGAATCTAAAAATCTGGCTCCAAAGTCTGCTTTCTGCACCATAAGGATAGAAAGTGTAGTGCTAGAAAAAATAAAAGCAAAGGCTGCTTCAATTTTTATAGGGAAAAATTTGGCCAATTGCAACTCTAAACTGTGAAAATCAAAAATGACCCTCAGTAAAAGGGTCAGCATGTGACATACAGGTGACCAGCTCTCACACATTAACCAGTTACTTAGAAGACCAGAAAGCAGACTAATCATACTCACAGAGTACACACAACAGAAGTGAGATGACCTACAATGATTCAAAAATATACCTTACAACTGGACCAATAGGCTAATTCAAATAAGATTAGACTTTAATAAAGAGAAATGCTAAGTCTTAGTGATATAGCTCAAATGGTAGGCAGATGTAGCTCAAATGGTAGGCCTACAAATAGGGGGTGGGGAGGAAGGGATCCTCTTTCAGTATTATGGACTGGTGTGTGTGTGTGTGTGTGTGTGTGTGTGTGTGTGTACGTGCGTGTGTGTGTGTGTGTGTGTGTGTGTACCAGTCCTGGGGCTGGAAGTGTGTGTGTGTGTACGTGCGCACCAGTCCTGGCGCTGGAAGTGTGTGAGTGAGTGTGTGTGTGTGTGTACGTGCGCACCAGTCTTGGCGCTGGAAGTGTGTGTGTGTGTGTGTGTGTATACACATGAGCACCAGTCCTGGGGCTGGAAGTGTGTGTGTGTGTGTGTGTGTGTACACATGAGCACCAGTCCTGAGGCTGGAAGTGTGTGTGTCTGTGTGTGTGTGTGTGTGTGTCTGTGTGTGTACACATACGCACCAGTCCTGGGGCTGGAAGTGTGTGTGTCTGTGTGTGTACACATGAGCACCAGTCCTGAGGCTGGAAGTGTGTGTGTGTGTGTGTGTGTATACATACGCACCAGTCCTGGGGCTGGAAGTGTGTGTGTCTGTGTGTGTACACGTGAGCACCAGTCCTGAGGCTGGAAGTGTGTGTGTCTGTGTGTGTGTGTGTGTGTACACATACGCACCAGTCCTGGGGCTGGAAGTGTGTGTGTGTGCGCGCGCACGCGTGCGCTGGAACTCAGCCTGGGTACTGTCCTGAGATTTTTTGCTAAAGATTAGAAATCTACCACTTGAGCCCCAGCTTCACTTCTGGCTTTTTGTGATTAACTGAATATACAAGTCTCACGGACTTTCCTGACCAGGGTGGCTTTGAACAATGATCCTCAGATCTCAGCTTTCTAAGTAGCTAGGATAACAGGTGTGAATTCTTTAAAAAAATATTTTGAAATGTTTCCTCAGAGAAAAGTCACAGAAATATATTCATTTAGTTGACATAGCCATTTGTAAAAGTAGTGTATAGAATATAGTAAACATGATTACACAATTACCAGAGGCTAAAACTGTTTATTATAGTATTCTAATACAAATTCAAAGCTAAGAAAAAATCCGTCATCTTATTTTATTGCGGGGGGGACGCCTAGTATTTATACTATAGCAATATCAGAAGCAAAGCCAGGCACCTGTGATTCACACCTGTAATCCTAGCTACTAGGGAGGCTGAGAGTAGAAGGATCGCGATTCAAATCTAACCAGGACAGCATAAAGTTCTCAAGACCTACCTCTAAAATAACCAGCAAAAAACAAAGCTGGGAGATACCAGGTACCGGTTGCAGATACCAGGTACCGGTCCGCAGAACAGCAGATCGCCAGGAACAGAGAAACCTACCAGCCGGGATTCTCCACGAGGATCCCACCCCCATCCCTAACTCTCCACGGGAGCGGAGAGGCTCCATCCCGCCAAAGCCGCCCGGCACCAGCAGCAGCGAACCTGTCGGCA